AAAAAAAAAAAAAAAAAAAAAAAACAAAGAAACTGAATAAACGATGTCATGCCCGGGGGATCTTGTGCACGGAGGAGCGAGGCTGCCTGGATCTCAGCACTAATAATGGGGGGTGCGCCACCCACCCCAGCGTGCTTGGCCTCTTGAGCCTAGTTCTCTGTTTTAAGTATCACAGTTGTCTCTGGTTGTTTGATGAAGGTTGTGTATCTCTGTGTCGGTTCCAGCCAGCCTCAGGCTCCTGGACACCTGGGCACTGACCCGGCACAGCCGCTAGGGACTTGGCTGTAGGGGACCTGTGCCAGCTGCTGCTCCGCCTACCCTGTGTGGCATGTGCAGCCGGGGGCTGTGCTGAGAGCAGCCACGGTGGCTGTGCCTTTGCTTGAGGGAGAGTTGGCTTATTGTGAAGATCGCATTTAATTTCCTGCTGCAAACAAGGCAGATGAGTGAGTCCTGTTTCCCATTTGTGTCCGTAGAAAAATGCCAGCAGCCACATTTGCCTGGTGGCATTAGCAGCGAGAAAGTCCGCAGGATGTCTCTCTCGGTCGGTGCAGGAATCTGGAGATTGCCTGGATCCCTTTGCCTCCTGTTAGAAGGGGCTTCATGAGTCTGTAGCTTACACCCTCTGCCAAGAGACGTTAAAGTTCTCAGCATGATAGATCTGAAGAGTTGGCACTTTGGAGCAGACGAGGGGACCAGGTACTGGGAGTTGAGTCAGGACCTTTGCGCTGAGCTACATCCTCAGCCCCTCTCCCTTTTTTGTTTCTGTTTTTGTTTTGTGGTTGTTTTTTGATTTACTTTGAGACAGCCTAACTAAGTCACTGAGTTGCCCAGGCAGGGCTGGAGCTTGGGAGACCTCATGCCTCAGACTCCCTGAGTGCTGGGAGTGCAGATTACAGCTGAGTACCACCAAGCCGGCTTCCTTTTTGGTATTCTTGGGTAATGTGTTGCCCAAGGGAAGGAATCCTGTAATAAAACCTTTCCAACAGAGAATTCCATGTTGTTTTCCTGCTTTTTTCCCCTTAAAATGTAGCATACGTATTCTGTTTGGTGGCTGCTTAAAAATACTTTGCTTGGGTTGGGGAAGATAGCTTGGTGGTCCAAGCGCCTACCTGGCAAGTGTAAGGACCCGGTCTCAGTCCCCAGTACTGCATGTGGTACTGGCCCCAGGACCCCGGGCATGCTGTGCTGCCCTGAAACTGGGCGTGGTGGTGCACACCTGAAATCCCAGTGCCGGGGAGGCTGAGACAGGAGGGTCACTGGGAGGCTGAACCTCCTAGCGAGACCCTGTAGAAAAACAAAAGAAAAGAAACTTTGCTTATAGAAAACACATTTTGGGGACCATTTTATTTCTAAAGGCACATTATTATTGAGACCATCTGTAAGAAACTCAGTTAAGTAGGGGGACGTGTTTGTCCTGTCACGGCAGCGGTGAGGAGCGTTGCTTCCGGTAGGGGAGAACCGTGGTAAGAGCCCCTCGTAGAAGACTGCTCTTTCTCCTGTGAATGCAGCTGTGTATTTACTGAGTATTTAAATCTGATTCTTTCTGTAGATTGCTGCTAAAATTGATTCAATTCCTCACTTGAATAACTCCACGCCTCTAGTGGACCCCTCAGTGTACGGCTATGGAGTGCAGAAGCGGCCCCTGGATGATGGAGGTAAGTCGCTGCAGACGTCTGCCTGGCAGGACAGCAGCGCCTCTGCCCGCTTCGCTGACTGCCAGCCGCTCCCTCCCCAGCTTCTCCCCAGCGCCCCCTCAGAGGAGGGGCTGGGGGAAGTGTTGAGGATGGTGTTCCCAGCAGCTTGCAAGCCTTTGAGTCCATGTCCACCTGGATAATACAGGAAACCTGTTAGCCAGGCCCATGGCAAGGGCTCGGCCTCGAGGCTGAAAGTCAGGGTCCCGCTTGAGATCTTCTTCAGTTTGCATGGTTTCCCCAGGCACGCTTGGGGACTGAAGTTTCCACTTTCTCCAGAGGACAGCTGGGATTTGGTGCGAGGCTCTGAAGCAGCAGCACAGGCTGCATCTTGACCTTGCGGAGGGGGCAGTAACCTTTCTGCAGTTTCACTCCAGGGGGTCACATCCCTACCTGTGGTAGGCGCGTCATTCATTCATTCCTTATTTCACTGGTTGGTTTGCATCCCCTGCTGCATGCGCCCAGGAGCTTGTGCCGCCTGGCCGCGCACGTCAGCGGTGCTCAGCTCTGCTCTGTGCATCTGTCTCGCCCTGCTCTCCGAGCTGTGGGGTGCACTAGGCTGCGCAGGAGTCTTCACTGCTGTCCTTGCTGTTGGTTGTGTCTGTGTTCCTTTCTGAGAGGGACAGTAGGATCGGGTGCAGGGTGGTGTACACTGTATCTCCTTTTCTCAAACAAGTTTTTATGTATGTAGCGTATAACTTAGTGTGCCTGGGAATTCTGAAGGAGGAGATGCCATTGTCTTAGATCTGGGGACTTTTTTGGGATAATTATTGAGGTTCACAGGGTAAGTGCTTCAAGGGGACAGCACTCACTTGAATGGAAAGTTCTTGTCTGTTTAAAGCTCTTCATGACCACACACGGAAGCTGTCGTCCGAGGCCTCTGAAATGAGGTGACTCTTAGATTTGCTGCTCCACACCAGTGAGCTTTCTCTGCTCCACCGGTGTTGGAGGTGTCTGTTCCTGTCTGGTGACAGTTGTGGCATGCGGTCCCCCTGGTTCCTTGTGCAGGGGGCAGTTGTGCTTTGCCTCCTGCTGCAGGATGTCAGTGTAAAGGTCAACTCGCTGTCCGCGCCACACACAGATCTTGGTGAAGAGTAGCGTCCCTCTAGTCTGGTGTTCCAGAAGTCAAGATCAGTGTGTTTTACAGCTCGCGCAGCCTTTCTTCTCCGAGGCCTCAGCCTTGTCGTCACCCACAGCCTGCTGAAGTGTGACCCTTAGCGGGAAGCACTCAGGTGTCACCGTGCCCGTGCACAGGGAGCACCTCATGTCTGCAAGTGGATCTCTGTAGGCTGGCGCAGACGCTTGTTGTCTGAGAGGCACTGTGTGGGGCCAGAGCCCCACCTGTGGTGCCACGCGTCGCAGCTGTCCTAGCACTTCACATCTGCTTTTGGAGAGTAAGTTCTCACACGGAGAACGAACGTGGCTGCTCCTTCCCCTTGGCCCGGTGAGAAGGGCAGAGTGGGAGCGGCTGTGTCCTGCAGGTCTGAGACTTCTGTGGACACCCAGCCCGTGGACGGTGGACTGTGTGGAGGACAGGACATTCCCTCTGGCCTTTTATGCTCTGTATAGCAGTTCGATAAAATCACTTCTCTTGTTTCATTTCATTTCATTTTATCTTGATTTTTAAAAACTGTGTAGGGGGCTGGGGAGATGGCTCAGTGGAATAAGCACTTCCCTGGCAAGTGCAAAGGCCCGAGTTCAATTCCCGGTTCTGCCAAAAAGAAAATAAATAAAAACGGTTTAGCCCACGATGGCTTCAAATGCACAGCAGTCTTGCCTCAGCCTCCAGAGTGCTAGCAGTACAGGGATCGCCGGTGTGCGGCACCTGGCCCAGCCATTAGTCCTCTCCAATTGCGCACTTAAAGGACAGTTACACAAATTTGTTGCTCCACGTGTAGAAATCTGGCTTGCTGTCCTTCCTCAAGAGCCCCAGAACCCTGGCGTGGGGCCTGCTACAGCCTCGCTGTGTCCCTCGTCTTCTGGTGACAGTGAGGATGGGAGAGGAACTGTGTGAGCCTCAGATTCGGCTGGGGGCGGCGCTTGCAGGTCTGGGCCCCCATGTGTCTCAGTCTGGGGCTTCTCCTGTGAGCAGAGTCTGGCAAATCCCAGCACTTCCTTCATAGCCGCTGCAATTTCCAAGGCTTTTGTTTGGTTTGGCCGGGTGTCTGGACGGAAGCTCCCAGATCTGTCCTTTAGCAGTGTGAACTTTCTCACTCTCCTGAACAGAGTTCTTTAACTTTCTGGAGGGCAAGGTCCAGTGCCCTAAAATACAGAAGGTGTTATTTGGGCCTACTTAGAAATGTGTCAGCTTTGAATTTAACTTGAACCTGGAAGTAGGGTGTCTTTGGGGTGTTGGAGTAGCGTGGATCCGTCCTGATGACAGGAGGACGTGGGGCTTTCTGAGCTCCGTGAGAGAATCTGCTTGGAGCCCAGAGCCTGGCCGCGAGGCCCTGCTGGGTGCCTGTCCTAGCACGAGCAGCCCTCCTGCTACCCCCAGCTTCCAACGACGAGCTGCTTTTACTATTAGCATCTGCAGTCTTTTTACTTTGTTTTTGTGTGTGGAACTGGGGATTAAACTCAGGCCCTCACGCTTGCCAGGGAAGCACTTACTCTACTGAGCCGTCGCCCCAGCCCCGGCATCAGCAGTCTCCATACCCACCCACACTTTCTAACAGTCTGAGGTGTGCCTCTGGCACTACACCCACTCAGGGATCGGCCCTGGATCCTGCCCGGGATGCACTCGTGCTGTCCCACCTGGCGCCGCCTTCATGCTGCCCTGGAGCCAGTCTGACCTGTTTGGTCTTCTCCTAGGGCAGAGCGACGTGAGCCCCAGCGACCAGGGTGCTTCAGATGTTCCCACCCTGCTACTGCCTCCCGTCCCCTCATCTCACATCTTGCCAAGCCCTGGCTGCCTTCTGCCTGGCAGCTGTGACTTCCTCCTGGGGACCTCACACTGTCTCTGACCTCTGTCCTGGCCTGTGCACTGCCTGTGCTTCCCCGCCCCTCCTCACACTCACCTCATCCAGGAATGCTCGGTCACCTGCTGTCTGAGTTGCGTAGTGGCCCACTTGTCCCCTCCTTTGCTATGTGAGGACTAGAGGCTTTCACGCACCTCTTGTACCAGAGTCTCTGTGAGAGTGACCCTTGGTCCCCCAGCCCAGGTAGTGGAAGAAGGAACTCTCCTGCTTAGCTTTTCCCTCACGGTATCCTGTTGTTAGCGTTGTCAGCATGGGAGGAGGAAGCTCCAAATGAAAGGAGGCAGCATCGCGAGTATTAGCAAACTTCAGCTTAGCCAAGATTGGGGCACTTTCTCCTGAAGCGCCAGGCAGTCGAGAGCTTGAGCCAAGGCCCTGCCCCACCACTCAGCTGCGCAGCCACGTCTAGGAGCAGCACACATGCAAGAAAGCGTTAGGTCGGGGACGTGTGCGAGAACAGCCAGCCAATCTGGGCATGGGGCGTACCTGCCTGACCTCTGCAAAGCCCCACCCCTGTCCTAAGCAAGTCTCCCACGGTGTGGCAGGGCCTGTCCCCTTGCTGTCCTTGCCCTCAGAAGCCTGGTGACCTCGTGTACTCTAGAGCTGGTGGACACCAGGAGAAGCTGCCGTGTCCTCAGCGCTCCCAGAAGGGAGCACGGCCTTGGGTCTGTGCCCGAGGACAGCTTCGGGTTGTGCCTCACCCTCTCCCTACCCTCTGTGATAGGCCCACATCCTGATGGGGGGCATGCAGGACTCCTACTCTTGCCAGATGACCTTGAAGGAGGCCCACCTTCCCAACCAAGGACAAGTCTGTGCTGCTTGTGTGATCCTGTTTGGTGTGACATCACTGCCTGAGGATTTGTTCCATTAAAACAGGGTCTTGCTGTGCAGGTCAGGCTGGCCCTGAACTCCTTTTATAGCCCAGGTTGGCCTTCAACACCCTGCCTCAGCTTTCCAAGTGCTGAGATTAGAGGCATGTACCACCACAACCATCTGCCTCATTTTATTTTATTTTGGCAGTGTTTTTTTGAGGTGAAGTAAGATTTTTGGGCATACGATCAAATGAGATATTTGTAGGAAGATTGGAAGAAAACGCTTGCACAGTCCTTCTGAGGTCTTATTTCAGCCCTTGTAGCGCTGGGCAGACAGACAGGAAAAGCAGAGCACAAAGAAAGTGTTTTTGTTCATTGGGTTTTTGGTGGATTTTAGTTTTGTTTTGGTTTGGTGTTTTTTTTTTTTTTTTTTTTTTTCCAGAAGGCTAGGAAATATTTTATTGGCAATCAGGGACGCAGCCATAAGAGGGAAGTGCACAAGACTGCAAACTAAAACCTACTAGTCAGCAAAGGCCCGTTGGGCCAGGAACACTGCATCCTGGGGTCCTCAGTCTCCCATCCGTAAATACACAACACAGGGCAGCCAAGACAGGAGGCAACGGCTCATGTGTCCCAGCCAGTGACAGAATATATACTTCACTATGAGCGACAGGGTAGGGAGGTACAGAGGAGGGAAGACTCATCATTGCCTAAGACCACCTCCTCCTCTCAGGGCCAACACCAGGTGGAGGACAGAACCACCTAGAATCTTGTAGTCACTGCTGTCCTCTCATCATTCATCTGTTTGCCGCTATAGATGAGCCGCTGCTGTTGTGGCGGGATTCCCTCTTTCTCCTCGACACGCTCCTTGATTCGCTCCACCTTGTCTGTGGGTTCAATGTCAATCTCAATCTCCTTTCCGGTCAGCGTCTTCACTTTAATTAGCATCTTCTTCTCTGGTTGAGGTGGTGTGCGGATAAATTGGTGCGTTTCCCGCTGCGGGCAAAGCTTCGGCTTCCTAGCACGCCTAAGAAAGTCACTTCTTTTGGTTTGGTTTTGTTTTAGTTTTCTATACTGTGGATGGAGTCTGGGGCCTGTACACTGAGGTACACCCCCCAGCCCTTTTTCTTTTCTTTTCTTTTTTTTTTTTTTTTTTTTGAGCTAGGTTCTCATTATG